ACCCACCAGTAAAGTCCATCACTCCTTGTGGGGTGCTCTAGAGAAGATCTAGTGGTGTGTACTTGGACTCTGTGCCTTGACCATTTTTAGGTCTCACACTTCCAAACATGCTGATGGCACAGATGGTCCACTATTCACTTTGTCTGCGACACCTAACAAGTATATAAATCAGGGATATCAGAGTAAAGACAGGAGTCTTTAGCTACAAAGTGAGATGATTTCACTGGAAATGATGTCCTCATTGTAAGATTTTTCATTACCTCTTGTTCTGGTGAAAAAAAATTTGGATTTCCCATTACTTTCTGTCTCGGTAACAATGGTCTCCAGGTAAACTCCAGGTAAACTAGGTGAATCTACCTAGCAAGGAAACAGGAGCAATAAAAATTTGACAGGAGTTTTAATACTTCTGTACTCTATCCAGTTGTGACCTAATTTAAAGAGTAACTCCACTTCTGTGGAGAGAAAAACAATGTCATTAGGGGACTTGCACCCAAACCCATACGGATGTCAAACTGGGAACTGCAATAGACATGAATGACACTGCCTGCAAGCAGATGTAAGGAACACCTGTGCATCCCATGTGGGCAAACACGGCCTTTCATATGGATGAATGCTGAACGCAGAACTTCACTCTCTCAATCAACATTGGCTGTTTTTAATCCTAATGCTACTAGCATTAGTAAAAAGATAGGAAATTATATTATATTTGCTTGTTTTAAACTTTTTTTTAATACATTTCTTCAGTTACATCCTGGTTTCCATGCCTAGGCAAATTATGCCATACATCCCAAGAGTCTTTAGTAGGGGAGGAGGGACTTTCTTAGCTAAGCACACCCTCCTGTATGCATGCCTGAGCTAAGGGCAGCTGGATTCCAGGAAGTAAATGCTACATAAATCATTGCGCTTACTCAAGTGGCCACAGCCACACCCATGTGAATGATGCCCAACATTAAATTACAACATGGCCTGTGAAGCAATTTTATATGCAATATTTTTTTGTACTTGCCATATTTTTGCACAAAGGTGGAGTTATCCTTTAAGTTTCATACTCTTTTGCATTCAAATCATTCACACGTTTCATGTTACATATCAATAGTTTTACAATTCCTAAGACTTTCATGCAGGTATTCACTATATGCCCTTCCCATTTTGTATAAATGTTCTTCCACAAGCTTGGCTTTATCAGATTAGCAGTACTGTTACATGAAAATCTGAAAGTCTTTTATTTCTTCTTTACCTCACAGGCATTTAGTAACATGCTATAAGGTATTAGTCCTCATGCAGGACATTTTGATAATGCTGGTAATGTTAGCTGTGTAAAGTAATTTTTAAAACATGAGTTTTTCAACTTTTTTGCGTTTTTGCATTGGCGCTTAGGGATGTTTTGCTACGCTTAGCAGCGGTTTCCTGCATTTTTCCACGTTTGCAATTTTTAGCGTTTTTTTTATCCAAAAAAAAGTAAAAAAAATGCTGGTTTTCGGCATTTTACCTCATTTTCCTGCTTTTTTCAGCATTAAAACTCCTCTAGAAACCCGCTAGTCCTGTGGATTTTTTCCAGCCAAAAGACGTCCCAGCCAAAAAACATTGATTACAGTCTATGTGTGCATGGACACATAGGATAACATGCTGGGGGGTTTACTAGCTGTAGAAAAAAATGTCAAAAACCAAAAACTGCAGCTGTAAAAACATTGTGTGCATGAAGACTAAAAGTGACTTAATAAGCAAAAGCTTGTACAGCTTAGCAGATTTCTTATTATGGTGACTAACAAAGTATTAGAGTTATGGAGTTTTATGTCAGTTATCATTTAAAGGATTAGAGTATGTAACATACAGAGTGCAAAGGTCAGAAGTATGTAATGCACAGAATACAAAGGTCAGAGTATATAATAGAAGGGTGCAGGGATATTTAACACACAGAGTGCAGGGGTCAGAAGAATGTAATGCTCAAAGTGCAGAAATGAGGACTATAGAACACACCATGTATAGGGGCCAGAAATATGTAATTACAGCGTGCAGTGGTCAAAAGTATTTAATGCAAAGAGTGCAGGGGCGATGAATATATAATGTACAACCCAGCATAAAAAACATCACTCTCACTTACCCCCCAAAGCAACTTACCAGCAAAATGTCTACTGCTTCCTAGGTAGAAACCCCTCATAGAAACATAGACGAGTGATGGCAGAGAAAAGACCAAATGGTCCATTGAGTTTGCCCCTTTTTTTCCTTAACTTATACATGTTTTTGTATTTTTTTTCTTTCTTTCTTTCTTTCTTTCTTTCTTTCTTTCTTTCTTTCTTTCTTTCTTTCTTTTTCTTTCTTTCTTTCTTTCTTTCTTCTTTCTTTTTGTCCAAAGCATGTTTGAAGCAACTTACTGTTGGCTAACTCAATACCTCTGCTGGAAGTCTACCCTTTCAGTAAAATAATACTTTTTATTTGTGAACTTTCCTTCTGCTAGTTTGAGGTCATGTCCCTGTGTTCTTAAACTTGGTTTCATATTTAAAATACTGCCCTCTTAACCACCTCAATACTGCGTCATAGCCGAAAGATGGCTACAGTGTGGCTCTTTTTGTTCTGGGAGGGCATCCATGGACATCCTTCCAGAACACTTTCTGCATGCACACATCAGGCACGCTCTGTAACCCCTGTGTCCTTTGGACACAGTTGATCACTGATTGAGGTAAAGGGCCAATCACAGCTGATCACATGTAAACAAGCTTGCCGGTTATAAGCATTCCTTTCCTCACGCGCTGTCACTGTGTGAGGAAAGAAGAGCCGATAACCAGCAAGGCTAACAGGGCACACTTACACTGATAATCAGGGCACTGATTATCAGTGTAGCCCCATTAGTGCCCATCATTGCCCATCAGTTCAGCTTATCAGTATCCATCAGTGCCGCCTATCAGTGCTCATCAGTGCCCATCAGTGCCACCTCATCAGTGCAGCCTCCTCAGTGCCTCCTCATCAGTGCCACTTATCAGTGCCCATCAGTGCCACCTCATTAGTACAGCCTCATCAGTGGTGCAGCCTCACCAGTGCCCAACAGTACAACTTCACTGGTGCCCATCAGCGTAGCCTGATCTGATCAGTGAAGGAGAAAAATACTTATTTGAAACATTTTATAACAGACACTAAGAAAAATGTTTTTTTTTTTGTCAAAATTTTCTGTCTTTTTTCGTATGTCTAGCAAAAAAAAAAAAACCCTGTGGTGATTAAATACCACCAAAAGAAAGCTCTATCTGTCTCAAACAAATGATAAAAATTTCATACAGTTTTGCATGACTGCGCAATTGTCATTCAAAATGCTTTCAGCTGTACTGAAAGCTAAAAATTGGCCTGGGCAGGAAGGGGGTGAAAGTGCCCAGTATTGTAGTTAACCAAAAATCTTTCCCTACCCAAGCAAGCCCCTCTAAGCAAAAGATCCTTCATTTCTAAACCTACTCTACCAAACCAAAAATGTCCCTTCTTCCAAGCACAAATCTCATTCCATCCAATGAACCAGACCTCAGCACCAGGCAAAGTAAGGGGAAGTCCTCAGAGACTGACCTTGGCTGGGTCATGTGACACGTCAGAGCCAAGGAGGAGCCTGAAAGGGAGTTGCAAGAAAAAGTATGTGAACCCCTTGGGATTACGTGGAGTTTTGCATGAATTGGGCATAAAATGTGCTCTGAAGGTCATCTAAGTCACAACAATAGAAGAACACAGTCTGCTGAACATAATACTACACAAACATTAGATGTTGCAATGGTTTAATTGCACATAACATGTAAACATATAAAGTACATAAAAAAAAAAGCTAGTGGGCCTTGAATGTGGCCCCTGACATCACCAAAGGGCCGCACATAATGTTCAATATATGTAATACTTGAGAGGACTGTCGTAACCTGGAAATGAGGGTCAGAGAGTGTGGCCATGCTAGATATTTGGTTGGTGATCAGCTGCAGAAGACAATACAAAACTGGGAACATGTTACTTGGGACTAATGGAGGTCAGAGCTATTACCCTAATGATTCAATGTTCCAATATACAAACAGCTGAGGTCAGAGGGCCACACATCATATAGCAAAGGGCCGCATGTGGCCCTCGGGCCACAGGTTGGACACCAGGGCTGTATGTAGTTTTTAGCCATTGAAAGTAAACAGCGATGTAGAAGCTGCAGGGAAGAATGAAATAAAAACGAGAAGCGCACCAACCTTGCTTCTCGTTTTCATTTCATTCTGCAGTATTGGTCGGGCTTCCCCAGCCTTGTTTTGGAGCCGCACAGCCCTTTAAGCATTGGTGTGACGATTTCTCCAGGCTTGGTTCCATCTATTCGCCACCTGTCTGAGTCCTAGAGCGCAGGAGAATTCGTCTTTGAAGCTTCAGGGAATCCAGAAGGTTGTGGAAAGAGAAGGACAGCAGACAGACAGCACTCATAGCATGAAAAGAGGTTTTTTAAGCAAGCTTATATTGGATTGTCAGAAATAAGTCCTCCTGCACACTAGATGTTTTTACGGCGGCTGTTTTTGGCTTTTTGACGGTTTTTACTACAGCCAGTAAACTCTCCAGCATATTATCCTATGTGCCCATGCACACATAGACTGTAATCAACGTTTTTTGGTAGGGACGTTTTTTGCCTGGGAAAAAACCAGGACTAGTGGGTTTCTAGAAGAGTTTTTAGCTGTAAAAACATGTAAAAACGTGGTAAATCATGGCAAAACAGCATTTTTGGGCTTTTTTTTACTAAAATTTTTTTTTTTATTTTTTGGTAAAAAAAAAACCTCTAAAAAACTCAAATGTGGCAAAACGCCTCAAAACGCTAATACAAAAACGCTAAAAAAACTCACATGACTTTACACAGCTAACATTACCAGCGTTATTAAAATGCCCCGTGTGCATGGAGCCTAACTATTATTTGTATAGCTAGTACAATGCTGATGTAATGAAATGAAAGCTGCTATGGCCAAAGATTAAAGTTAAAATTAAAAAAAAAATGTCATGTATTGCAATTATACTGTATACAGTATATCATTTTTTTTTTTTATGGATTGGCCATCAAACTACCCTAAAGCAAGCTTATATTGCTTTCAGCAGATAGTTAGCCCATGTACATTCCATATCAGGGGTGGAATGACAACTCATGGGGCCCCTGGGCAATAGGGGATCATGGAGCCCCTGTGTCCTTGCCCAAACTCAAAAAAGCCTATGAAAAAGGTACCAGGGGCATCTCATGGGGCCCCCTACTGACCTCGGAACCTCGGGCAGTCCCGAGTTTCTAAATGGTCAGTCCGCCCCTGTTCCATATATATATTTACTTTTAGAGAAATGGCCTAAACAGGCGCTCCCCTGGAACACCAGACCATTACACACCATTAGATATACATATAGCGAGACATATTTAAGTTACTTAAAAATACTATTTGCTGTTCCTTTCATGTTCTAGGCAGGCGAGCTCTAGCTTGTTACATTCCGTTTTCTGATCTTCTGGATGCACAGGCCTCTTAGCCTCAAAGAACTATTTCAATGTACCGTCACTCTGTGAATTTGAGATCATAGTATATTGTATGCATAATGTTCCAGGCTGCCAGCCGCTACGCAGCGGTAAAAGTGGACATATCACGGAGTGTACGGATACTGTCTGCCGTATGCCAATCAAAGTTTGATCAAACTTCTGACAATACAGAGCATACATCAGTGTCAGGACTGCACTGCCTGGAGAATGTTAAGTATTTCAGTCCTATCCTCTCCTCTCTCTACTCCCAGAATGATCCAAGCAGAAATACAAACAGAAACACGCACAGACTATATACTGTATATTCCCATTATGTGTATATGAATTTAATATGTTGATAGGGCAGAGACTAAGCAGATAAATGATCACGTTTATTGATACTAAACATTATAGGGTGAAAATGTTATAAAATGAACTACGAGCAGATATAAAAAGTTTAAGGGCCAGTTCACACCACAAAAATACACTCCGAAGCAGGGGCAGACTGACAACTCATGGGGCCCCCGGGCAATAGGGGATCATGGCGCCCCTGTGTCCTTGCCCAAACTCAAAAAGCCTATGAAAAAGGTACGAGGGGCATCTCACGGGGCCCCTTACTGACCCCGGGCCCTCAGGCGGTGCCCGAGTTTCCAAATGGTCAGTCCACCCCTGACTCCGATGCATTCCAGATATGTGTTTGCTTACAGTTCACACCACATGCAGTTTCAGTGCAGTTTTGATGCAGTTTGCCATATTCCAGTGCAAAAAAAAAAATGCAGCATGTTCTACTTTTTTTTCTGCACTGGAAACTGACTGGAACTGACTGCACTGGTGTGAACTAGGGCCATTAGAATTCATGGAAAACCCTGTGCATGCATTTTTTTTAGAGCTAGTTCACACTAGATACAGTTCAGTGTGCTTTTTTCACACTATAGAAATGCAGACCAGATATATTCTGGATGCATTTTTTGCATGAGTGTTTTTGATGCGTTTGTGGCACGTTCCGGTGTGTTTTTTATGCCTTTTTGACATGTTCCAGTATGTATTTTATGAATTCCAGTTCATTTTATCCTCCTCTTTTTCTTCAATTTCAATAGGGACATGTGTGTTCCAGTGCATTTTTGGTGTGGTCCGGTGCGTTTTTTGATGCATTTTACCGCGATCCAGTACAGTTCTGTGCAGAAAGAATGCAGCATGTTCCACTTTTTTTCTACAACTGGAATGCACTGGAATTGAAAACCATATAACTTTCTGTACATTTTGGATGCAGAAAAAAAAACAACTGAAACGCATGTAGTGTGAACCGGCCCTAAGGGCCGGTTCACACTGTAAAAATGCAGTCCTGGTGCGTTGCAGATGCATTTCCGCATTTGTGTTTTTGATGCCTTTTTGTTGTGTTCCAGTGTGTTTTTATGCATCCCAGTTCATTTTTCCCCCCTCTCTTTTTTTCAATTTAAATAGGGACATGTGCATTCCAGTGTGTTTTTCATGCATTTTACCGCATTCCAGTACAGTTCTGTGCAGAACCGGAACTCACTGGAACTGCAAGCACTGATGTGAACTATGACATTGACAACCATATAACCTACTTTCTGTGCATTTTGGATGCAGAATAAAAGCAACTGAGACGCATGAAGTGTGAACTGGCCCTAAATGTAATTTTACAAGCAGCTGGCATAAGCACTTGAATTTCTCTTGATATCAATTTTTTGCATCCCCTGCACAGCAGTATTCAGGCTGGGGGATGGAGCGTCAGCACTAGGAGCTAATAAGGCTGTGTTGCATGCACATGTACAGTTTGCCTGGAGTTCAGCTTTAACCCTCTTCATGACCACGGCATTTTTTTGCTGTTCAGCACCATGCTACTTTAACTGGCAATTTCTCGATCATGCAACACTGTACCCAAATGAAATTAATATTTTTTTCACACAAATAGGGCTTTCTTTTGGTGGTATTTGATCACCATTGGGTATTTTTATTGTTTGCTATATAAATGAAACAATTACCAAAACGTTTGACAAAGCCCCCTCGATATTTTCTACTTTCTGTTATAAAACATATCCAATAAAATCACATTTCTTCATAAATTTAGGCTAGAATGTATTCTGCTACATGTTTTTGGTAAAAAGAAATCCCAATAAGCGTATATTAACAGCAATCGTTTGGAACTATCATGAATGGATTTTATTCATAACAGCTTGGTTACTCTAGTGATGCTGTAATTGGCCCACATGGTACAGGGTGTTGTGATTGGCCCAGGTGCCATGTGATAGCTGTGGGCTAATCACAGCATTACTATAGGAAGCACAGTTGTTATGAATAAAATTAATTCATAACAGTTTTGTTGACATTGTAATTATGTGATCACATAGCGATTACATGATACCCCGGCTACTCAAATTGGCCATGTACTGAAACCCATAATCTGTTGTGTCCAGTGGACACAGCTGTAACAGGAGCTGCATGCTCTGTGCACCAGGGGATGCACCAATGCGCATGGGCTCAGCAATGTATATTTACATTGCCGAGCCTGGCTAAAAGCACTGTGGGTGGGCGCAGTGCCAAGACTAGGTCATCTAGTGCCCAGGGCGAAGATGCCAAATGGTGCCCTCCCCCCCAAATGTATGAACATGCACCCTCCCCCCCAAAAAATTTCAAGCGCTATGTGATGGGCGCGGCGTCAGACCCCCAGCCCTTTTCACCAACTTGTGACCGAAGGACTAGCCAATCTAAAACCAAGCTGTCACATGCCATGCTCAGCTGCACCCTGCACAAAGATTTTCCAGCTCACTGGAGCCGCAGCCTGAGAGCGCTTGTTACTGGGTCAGGTTAATTACGGAATTAACCCTTCACACTGCCACCACCGCCTTTTTGTGCGGAGAAGGAGGAAACTCACCAATCTTAGCAGTAACACTATGATGTTTGAATAAACGTTTGTATACACACTGTCACCGCAGGCAGATGTATGCAGAAGTTTAAAACACACAGTAATGCTCTTCGGAGACAGGGATTCTTAGTTTGCATTAAAGAGCTTTAGAAACAGTTCAACACTTTTCAGAAAATAGGATTTATTACTAAAAAGGTAATATGGTGCATAAAAATATTTACAGAAAAAGATGTAGCCAATATATATATATAAATACAGAGAGCAATAACACAGCAGAGAAATAACAGAAGTTTAGAGAGGGTAGAATGCTTGCTAAGCAGATTCAAGTGTCCTGAGCAAAATGGTACCGTTTCTCCCAAAGTTGGTTCCTGATGTTAAACGGGAGAAATCTCTTCATCTTCCTTCCCCAGGCATAACAGCCTTTTTCTAGGAAGCCAGCAGGGTGCCTCCTTAAAGCAGAGAACCAATCGCCTCATTTGGGGAGGGGTGTTTAGGCGGGGAACTCAGGCTATGACCAAATCCCTCCCAGTTTATATCATGGTCAATAACCATCCATAGGTGCATGCAGCAGCCTAGCCACTGGCAGGTTAATATGCAGAATGATATTCTGAAAGTCCAGGCACCAAATATGACATATCTGGCTGTGACGGTTAAAGAGATATCGCTTTCTGCTCTCTGGTAGACGTTATCTAGGGGTGTGAGGTATCAGGTGACTCGCATTAAACTGACCTGTCTGAATATATGTTTTCTGTTATTGTATGTATTTCCTACGAGAAGTTATGAAATTGCATTTAAAAGTGGTTTCAAGTGAGATGTATGTTTTACTGCTATTCCGAAATGCTTTCAAGTCCAGTGACTGGCGGGTACATAGCTTTATGAGCAGCCCAGAGCAAGATTCGGACAGACACCAGGGCATCAGCTACTTGGGTTTACAACCATGAAGGGTATCTAGCTGTGCCCTGTGCATTCCTGAACTCAGCCACAGCAGACCACATGCCATTCAACAAAAAGGGGAGGGGGCACTGATTTGGAGTGAGAATGACACAAGATGGAGGATCGGTAGCAACATGAGTGTCTGCGTCCATATCTGTACGTACAATTGCTACACGCTAATCTTCACACTTACCCCATAAGCAATAATTCCCTTTGCAAGTCATAATTCTCCCTAAACAAAAAATGTACTCTCTTCCAGTACAAATCCCCCTCCCAGCTCAAATCCGCCCCTCCCCAATTCTTCCCTCCTAGTACAAATTCTCTACCTTTCAAATTTCCCCCCTGAGCATAAAGGTTGCAGTTAGAGTAGGTCTGGTGGGATTGGTTACCCATTGGTGTTTGTAGTATACAAAACAAATGAAAAACAAAATGTAGTGCAAATAGATGTAAAACCTGTATAGCTTTTATAAAAATTGTACTGCACCAAAATGAATGGTACATTGTGTTATATACGTTTTGCTGCAGGTGAAGGAGTGCAAAAGCTAGCTGTGTGGTTGTGCAATAAAGACTTATGCAGGCCATAGATGGGTCGAAAATCGGCCGATTTGTCGGCCGAAAATAAAATCGGCCGATTTTCGGATCGTTAGTGGGCTATTTGTTCGGCCGTTTTTTCGGTATTTTGGCAGATTTTTTTATCGGTAAAGTTGGAAAAAAAATCGGCCGATTTTGCCGATTGGACGATTTTTGCGGCAATGATGGGCAAATCGGCCGATTTTTTACCGATAAAAAATCTGCGCATGAGCAGTGACCTGCAAGAGGAAGACAAAAAAAGAAAAAAAGAAGAAGAAGAGGAAGAGAAAGAAGAAGAGGATGAAGGAGAATAAGAAGAAGAAGAAGAGGATGATGAAGAAGGAGAAGAAGAGAGGATGATGATGAAGAAGAAGAAGAAGAGGATGATGAAGAAGAAGAAGAAAGAGGATGATGATGAAG